AATATACCTAAAGTTTAGGTATTTTATTATAACGAAATTCCAGGTGTTTGAACTCATAAAATAAGGCCGGAGCCTCATGGCGGTCATTCAGCTTTCTCCTTTCTGGTTGACCTGTTCCCGCGAATGCGGTGGGACCTCGCGAGTACAACATAGAGCATGGCGATGAACTTATTACAGACGGAATTTATTCAGGAATAAATAAAGCTAGGTTATCGACAACAACAAAACTGCGGGGATCCTTACTCCGAAAACCGCAGAACTCTCTCGGCGCTTCAGCAGCTGTCTAACTTGTTCGTTCTGTTATAATTCCGTTCCCAGTCCTGTTTCAAGCAGGGATGATGTTAATTGATGTCTCTTACGAACCCGTTCTCAACTCATGAGCAAACGTTGCTGGGTTGATTTGTTACCAGTTATATCTGATCGACGTAACTTATGCGACCCACTGTCCACTAAAAATAAACAGAATGACCCGCTAAATCCACGAGGTCTTTTCTACACGTAAACTTTCAACATCAGAACTCTACGTTAAATTGACAAGCATGTAATAATTACCGAGACCTTAAGGCCTCGTGTAATTATACTTTCCTAAAATTGATTTATTCTGTGTCTGTCAAATACGCATATAAAACTCAAGATTGGTCATGCTTCTTAAAATTTTCTGGACGAGTTCAACTTTGGTTGTTCTGAGGTGCTGATTCATAGAATCACAGAGATGAACGATGTATTGGATTCCAGCGAACAGTCGTCTTTGTGTCGTTTGGTAATGCGGCTCAATCAAGCTCTCACTGGACACTAAAACGGTGCCTGTTGGTATTTCCAACACATCGGTCAATCGTTCAGCTGTAACACTCGGTGCCTAGCTGCCTTGTCACTCTAAGGGTGCTCGACGTCTATGATACTGCCTAAGCCTACAGAGTAGGGGTCGAAATGCAGAGGTCGGATCGGAACATTGAACCTTCCGGTCGGTAAGTTCATGCTATAACCACCGAGCTATCCCACCACCTAGTCGCACTTCCCTGCAATAGGAGGATGGAGCTAGTAAAGCTTTTCACTCAGGCGACCAACGTGTCCTTATTTATACCCTTGTGCACCCGAATGATCGAGCCAGAAATTGAGAATGAAAATTGTCGAATGATGGGCTTTATTCTTCTAACAATTTCAGTGCATCCGCTAAACCATTAGGAAACACATTTAGTTTAATTAGTAGCAAGTAAGGAGCTTAACACAACGTTAGTTTATAGCATTTTTCATCGCCGGCGAGGTCATTATCAGGAGAATGTAGATCAGACTTCGCGGTTTTGAAGGTTTTATGGCCGGACATGTTGGTCTGTGATTTCCCGTAGAACATTCTCTGGAATTTCCCTGAGTTCTGGTTATGCCGTTTCGCCTCCAGGATGATCAATCTAGTGCGATTCAGTCTCGTCTTGAGGAGCTGCTACACCTTAGTTTGTGCTTCACCTGACCTAAAAGCCCCACCACGATCCGAATGGACGTATGACGGCATTCCGTACAAAGAGAACAACTGATTAACACACTTGATCACGGTGGATGAGGACACATCCGTACATGCGTGGGCGAATGGGAAACGGGAGTACTCGTCGATCGTTGTTAAAAGTTATCTGATGTGAGAGGTCGATAGAAATGGGCCTTTAAAACCGACGCTGACGCGTTCAAACGGCTGTGTAGCCTTAGTGAGATCGCCAAAAGGGTGATTGAGGAAACAAGGCTTCAATTCTGTAAAAATGCTACATTGATTAGTAATCGCCTTAACATCCGCGATTGAAAACGGCAAATTTTCCGCGCGGACAAAATGAAGCATACGCGTGATACCGGGGTGACATAAGGTGTTATGGTGTTTGAGACCCACGTGTGACATCGCAGATATGTGATTAGTCCGCGAGAGTGTGTCAGCGGCTTTATTTTGATTACCTGGACGGTACTGGACATCGTAATGTAACCACCATAGTTCAAGTCTCCATACCAGCATTTTGTCGTTTTCTCACTTTGCCTTCGTGCTGTTTGTCGTACATGAAGGCAACTGACCTGTCACGAAGAGACTGGATCTTACCATGATGTGACGGTTTTTGCAGCTGAGAGACTCATTTAGCGATACTGGGGGTGTCCCCGCGACACCGAGAAGTCTCTCATACCAGGTTCCAGGGGTGGGGGGAGGGGGCGAGATGGCCCAAGTGGTTAGAGCGCAACTTTACTGACCGGAAGGTCCGTGGTTCGAACCCGACCTCTGCCTCTCAACTTCCCCTGTCTAGTCTTGGGCAACCTGGCAGTATCCAAGCCGTCGTGATTCCTTCGGGTGGCCAGGCAGTTAGGCGCCGAAAGGGTGCTGCAGCTGAACGATGGTAGACGAACTTACCAAAATCGTCTTCTAGAGTCTGTTCCAAAGGTTCCAACATTCATACTGGGACGAGAGTGCCACCTTTTTTTACGGTGCTGGGAATTTAGCCTGTGGCACGGCCCCACCAGGTTCACTCAAAGAGTGGATATCAGCCTGAGCGGTGGCACTGCTTAAATCTCGGGGGAATATTCCAGCCGGCCCCAAAATAACGTAGTGCGACGAACTATCACATGTCAAGTGAAGGTGAATGTGCAGGTGGACCGTGAAGTGTGATGGACACAGAAAGCCAAAGAAACAGATGAGGTGTCAAGTGAAGGTGAATGTGCAGGTGGACGTGAAGTGTGATGGACACAGAAAACCAAAGAAACAGATGAGGCACAGAAAATTGGTAATGCCTGAAGATTACTTCACTTGATCCGTGCGACCGGTCCGCGGAATTCACCTGTGAGCGAAATCATCAAGGATCGGAATAGAGTCAACATCTCAAATAAAGAAGAACGTCTCGACTGCTGGGCCGAATACTTCGAACAACAGTTGTCATGACCACCAGCTGGCAGCTATCTGGAACCTACAGGTGAAGTAGAACCCTGGACGGTGAACGCGGAATCGCCTTCAGCCTCGGAGGTTTATGACTGCGCCACCGAGCCTCTGGTCCGGTGGCATTGTTCAAGGATGTGGGTCAATTCCTCAGTCAGCGCTTGTCTGATCTGTTTGCTGGCATTTGGGAAAAGGAGTCTGTCCTAGGCTACTGGGGGAAGTCGGTTATAGTACCGATTTGATAGAAAATGGCTCGTAGTGAGTGTGGTAACCACAGGGAGATCAGCTTGACCCCGGTCTTAATGAGACTGCTGGAGCCACTGCTGCTTTGTCGCCTTACGGTGGCTCGTGAGATACTGACTCGAGAGCAGGAAGCGGGATTCGGACCCTGTAGGGGTTGCATTGATAATATATTTACACTTCGTCAGGTGCTAGAACAACGCCATACGTATAAGCGACCCATAACCCTAGTGTTTCTGGATTTCCAGACCGCATTTGACTCGGTTGACCGGTCTGTACTTCATGGTACGCTTACCCACCGAAAATGCCCCGGAAGTCCTTGAACATAATGACCTCTTTGTATTCCTAGACTTCCGGACTTGTGAGAGCTACGGCGAGTTCTCGAAGAGCTTCCGTACACAAAGTGGTGTCCGTCAGGGATGCCAACTCTCTCCATTCCTCTTTAAATTTGCGATCGATGAAATTACGAGGTGAACGCTGCAAGATCTCCAAAAACCGGGTGTTCAAATAGCCTGTGACGAAAATCTTGTCGATTTCGAATATGCAGATGACATCGGTCTCATGTAAAAAAAATAATAAAATAATCGCTCAGTTGTAGTGCCTTTTCGGTGCCTAGCTGTCATGCCACCCGAAGGAAGCACGAGGGCTGAGATACTGTCAGGTTGCCCAAGCCTAGACAGGGGAAGTCGAGAGGCAGAGTTCGGGTTCGAACCATGGGCCTTCCGGTCAGTAAATTCGCGCTCTAACCACTTGAGCCATCTCGCCCCCCTCGTTCTTATGTTCGAAAGGGAGGCGTCGCAAGTTTTGGATGAACTGACCAAAGTCATCCGTCCTTTGGTATGCACTTTTCACTCATACAATGTAAGGTCATGCTGCTGGACATGCAGTCACTGCACATGCCACTTTCAATCCAGGGAGAGGTACTGGAAGTTGTGGAGCGTTTTACCTATCTTTGTAGTTGTGTTATTTCTAACTGTAGTGTGACAAATGGGATCGATGCACGAATCCGCAAGGCTCGGGTCGCGTTTGCTAATTTGAGATACCTATGGTGTCAGAATGGTGTGTCCCTGAAAATCAAGGGACATGCATATCAAGCTACAGTGCGGGCGGCTTTGTTGTTTGTCTATGAGACTTGGCTTGTTCGAGCAGTGAAACTGAGGTGTCTTCAAGTGTCGACAATCGTTGTCCCGGTTGGTATCGGCGTATCTGTAACGAGGTCATTAGAAGGCGAGTTTTCGGCTCTGCGGCTGGTATTTCCATTTCAGAATGTGTCCAGCACCAGAAGCTGCGTTGACTGGGGCATGTGTTGCGTATGCCTAACCATCATTTGCCGAAGAGAGTGCTGTTTTCCATTCCCAATTCAGAGTGGCGGATGCAGAGAGGTGGCCAATCCTCGACCTGGCACAGGGTTATGATAGAGATTGCTTTCGGGGCTACATGTCTTCCAGGATGGGGATCGCCTGATCCTCACCGCTCCTGGTTGGAGACGCTGCGAGATATTGCTGTCAACCGATGTCCGTGGCGTTCTTGTTGTCAGTTTCTATCCAGATAGCCTGAATGAGTGCTTGGAGATGTAGACACCTCAAAATGATTGCAGTAAGCTATCACTAAGTCCGTTCCCCATCCACCTTTATTCTTTTTCCACAGCAAAGCTTTCGATTAAATCTTGGTTGTACGGCAGCGAAGCATCGGTGTTGAACACTGATTTCATATCGATGGTGGTGATAATGATGTTGAAAGGTGACTGACCGTTTATCCGTGACAAGTGTGATGTGATTGCCAATCAGGTGGTGTCTCCATTTTCTTGGCTTCAACAGTCACACATGCTTCTTTTTCGATTGCAGAATGACCACGGTCACTGTGTGTCAGAGTGCATGAAAAGACGTATCGGGCGCCCATCTTGATTGAGATTGGCCGCAATGGCTATGTCGTGGGCATTAGTTTCCACAACGAGTGGCCGAGTGTAGTATGTGGTGAACACGCCGATTTTTTGCAAATCATGCTTTATATTATCCAATGCAGCTTGTACGCTATCTGGAATGGAGAGATCTGATTGTGGACGATTTGATGAATTTTATCCGAAAAAACATGGAATTTAGTGTGCGTAGTATGCCAGCATTTCTACCAATCTTGTTTGTGAATGGCTGTCACATGGATTAGGGAATTCCCCCAGGGCTCGAAAACTTTCAGGGTCTGGTTTCATCGTACTGTGTGATATTTCGTATCCTGGTAATAGTAATTTTGCAATAGCCGTGATGCTCCTTTTGTGGTCAAATATAATACCGTGACTTTCCGAGACCCTTAAATCTTTAAATTTTGATAACCTTCCTGGACATTGCGACCACACACGGTAACACTGTCAACATATGCGAATGTATCGAGGAGACCTTCCTCGCATATCGTGTTGTTGAAAGCAGGCCACACCATTAACAACTCCGAACGGAATGCGGTGAAATCGGAAGAGTACTGTGAATGGCAGTAGATATTATCAACTCAAAAATGGGAATAATGGTTATCGTTGAGCTGTAGTAACCTCTTGGTGCCTAGCCGCCATGCCACTCGAAGGAAGCACAAGGGCTGTGATACTGCCAGGTCACTTAAGCCCAGGCGGGAGCATTTGAAATAGCAGGTTGGGTTCAAACCACGGACTTCCCGGTCAGTAGGTTCGCGCCTGAACCACTGAGCTATCTCAAGCTCAGTATATTTTCACTGCGTAGTTGTACTGAAGTTTCATTGAGGTTTTTTACGGATTACATCTTGGTCGCATTCCGGCCTTGTTTCTACTTCACCCTTCACACCCGAACGCGATCTTCAAGGCGGCATAGAACAGTCACAAAATGATTAGGCAGCACCGCTTTTAGTGGTCCATTGGACTCAAGAGTAATCTCATTCGTCCACTCTATGGTTGTGGAGCTGTGTGGCTAAAAGGGGTCCGGAATTCTAGATAAAGTATGGATAATTGAGGCGGGCTCTTAGTTGTCAGATTTGGAACGAAAACCATGTTTTGGAGTGGGAAGGATATATGATAGAGTCGGGATGTAGGTAAAATGTAATCAGATACAGATAAGTGCAAACGTTTGAAGTGATAGAAGCAGGACCAGCATTACACTTATCGAGTGAGAGAAGGGTAACGCTATCCGAGACATGTGGTGTGGAGATTTTAATCTCTAGCGGGCAATGTCATACTGGTGGCTGACAAGAAGTGAGGTGATCTGGGACAGAGTTGTGAGAGGTACAGGTGTTTACCACTAGTGTATCGCTGTTTTCGTCTATATGGAAGAAGTGATACAAAAAGAATTGATACAAAAGGCTGGGCCCATATATGCGCTGTTTTAATGGGTGGGTTTTGGAACCTTTAGACGTCGAATTTAGGAGCGAATAAAGATGAGCGATAGTTGTGACTGACTTTTAGTCGACCCAAAAATATTGATTTCCTGTTGGTGTTAACGGTAGTTGGACATTTTGTCGTGCGTTGCATTCGTCCCTTACTCACTCGATCACGGACCGGCTTCCTCTATGTGCGGTGACGTTGTCAGTATGTATCGAGGGACAGGGAAAGTTGTAGGTTTTCCATCGTAGTTATCTGTCTTGCCAAAGGTTTGGAACAGATAATATTCGTCTTTTATTCTTCTGTGTTGTGCATAAAAGGCCTGGGATATGCGGAACGGAAATCCACGCTCGCTTCCGTGGAATCACTGAGTGGATTCTATCTCCACAAACATTTGTGCGTTACTAGATACGGTGAGCGGACACGCAATGATATTCAAGGTTATCGGATATCTTATTGCCCCATCCCAGCGACACACTGAGATTCTAGCGGTCGGTTCCCTCAGTTCAGTCACTTCAAAGTGCGCTCTCCGGTTAGTTTTCCTCCAAAAGTTCCACGCCAACGTTTCCACGTTGAAAATGCGGGACCTAAGTTGGCCATTGAATATAAATGGTTCAAATCAATGAATGGATACTCAATCAGTAGAATTATTCATTAATTACTTGGCGAGAATCAGCCACAATCGCTGATTTTGGGGAGGTCTGATGAATGTAGGAGACCGCATTCATACACGTCTCATACACGTCTCATTTCAGCACTTTGTGGTTCTCCCGGTTTTCGGTTTGCCGTCAATCAGTCGCTGTCGCTCTTCAAGCAACTGACATGGAGCAAGCCGATACTAGTGAGTGAACTTTTGGCCCTAATCCACCAAATGTACTTTAATGTAGCTGAATCAACGGAGCACTCTTGGATGTCACCGTATACCTCGGTAAGTTTTTTGCTTCATGCCCTCGAAAGTAATTCACGAGTCGATGTAACAAAGGGACGACCGGGATAAAAAGTCGAAACTACTACGAATTCTGCCAACAAATTTGATCAAGAGTATCGTATCACTCAGTTCAGAAAATCAAGCACTTTGCAAATGGTACCGGCCATCAGTCTCTTGTATTTTAGGAGTAAATCAATGACAATTCGTAAAATTTCGCCACAGAACGGCTTCTTGGTTAATTCGTTAAGCAGAGAATTAGGGAATGCTCGCAAACCAAGTGCAGTTCTTTTTGTCTGATTCGTATGCGTAGTTTTCTTGCTTATTTCAGTTCTCCATAGGTCGACAACGCTTTCGTTGACAGGAATGTTTAGGGGGACAAATATGGTAATGTTGTCCCATAAGTCACTGTTTTTTGGATGTTGAAGATTATGAATAAGAAGGTACTTTGGATCGATCGGTGCTAGCTCAAAATGGACGCACATTGCACTTGTGTACGATAATGGCTAGCAAATCTGTGGTGCTGGCATTGGTTAGGATTACAACAGCACCAAAAAACAGTGATTCGAATATTATACCGTGGTTCGAATGGTTTAAGAATTAGTAGAAATGAATCCATATTTCCAATACAATGTGTGAACTGTGAATAAAGTTATCAGGTTGTTTCTATCCTAGACCAACCATAGATGAACTGATGTGTCTGGTGTGAGGCACATGCATTGTAGAATGCCGGCCTGTCAAAAAGGGTTAAATTATTTTATTCTTGGTGCCATGCATCATTCCTTGGGTGTACAACCGCTGGAAGTAAGCAGGTGCTCTTTCAGACACTGATGTGGCGATCTATACATTGCCTTTCTTACAATATCATACTGACTCATGCGTCCATGAGCATTGGTTTTTGACTGGGAATAGGCATGGAGGGTTTCGCTGCAAATAATCTTTGTCTTATTGGGGTTTTGAGCTGTTCATCTGAGCAAAGCTGTGTGTGGGTGAAAAATCTCGACCTTTCAAATGAGTACAAAATGCCCAAGTGAATTTTTCTGCCTGGAAAAATAACACCAATACCATATTTCTGAGAGTGATGTGTTTACGATCAGTATTCCTTACGTGTACGCGCCAAATTAGGCCCTGATAAAGAATTTAAATGACTTCATCAGTCTCCAAGTTCATATACATTTGTTTCTGTGACGTATGGAATTCCGGAGCTACGGGATAATTTGCTCAAGTAGAAATTTGTTCGTTTTATAAGTGTAATTTTGCTGGTTTATCTGTTGCCATTTCGGCAGTCGTTTTTCCGCATTCAGTGTTGAGCTTTAGGTCCCTACGGAAACCGATGTTCCAAGGGATGTCGATAGATGGAATCGGCCCCCAAGCTTTGTAAAGCAACTCACCACTTGTATGTCATGCTCAGGAATGTCGTATAGAAGCTTGCGACGGTAGACGTAATGCTTGGCAACCAAGTGCTGTGCCGGAGCTAGTGAGGTTGTGGGTGCCTGTTTTTCATAACTATTCACACTGAACCTCCGTAGGAACTATGAAGGTGTCTTATTCACTTGTGGGTAGCTTCGAAATTTGCGGAATGCTTGTTTATAACAGTCTTCCTTCTCTAGGCACCAGTTCAAGCCATCCGACTGCTCATTCTTGTGAGGCTTTGTTTCTCACAAACTCTGCTCAACTACAAGGGGTTCAGTTGATTGCATGTCTTATTACCATCGTATCTACGTAGTGATGACGAAATGAAACCGTCCTAGAGGTTAGATCTGTTCCTGACCGTGGTGTGAGTTTTCCAAACGATCCGCTTTTGGTCCACATCTTCCGATGATGATGATGATGATGATGATGATGGTGCGTTTGGATCCTGGTTGCCAATTCATTCAGTCAAGCTACGAAGAATTCGACTAAACTGTCCGTCATGTTATAATAGGGCGTGCTTGTAGACTTCACCTAAGCCAAATGGTTAGTCGAAGCCAGTGGGTATCTTTTTGCATTCACGGTCTGTAGACTGAGTTGGCATTTAAATGAGGTTTTCGCTCGTTTATACTAAAAAAAACCTTTTTCAGTGTTTTAATTCTTATATTGACTGTTGGTGCTTGGCTTCGTTGGTTGGGACGTTTTCAGGTCCAATATAGTTCTGTGAGATTCCGTTCATTGAGTTATTTACTCGTTGAAGATTGCCCTGTTTTTTTTTTTTGGGGGGGGGGGAGAGGAATCATGCCGTGGTGAGCCGTCAAAAAATGGTTTGCGCTCTAGTCCATTAGTTTTCCTTGGAAACCACTGGGTCACTGTCACCAGTTTTGGCGTCTGTACGGTCTCTCTGATGTCAGTCAGGAATGGAGAATGCGACACAAGGGTGCTCCTGCCTCAGACGGATCTTCAAACAGGTAACCTAACAAATATGAGCCAACAAAGGCTACGTTGGTTGAGTCGTACACTTAGCACACCGGAGGAACGTCGTCTGCTCTGCAAAACATTTTCTGACCAGCCAATGTGGATAGAAGGGATGAGGCAATAACCGTAAAAGCCTAAACCTGTTACACCCATCGTGTTTATAATTTATGCTTCTCTGGATGGGGACTCCGATACTGTGCAGAGTGTCGATGGGGGCGCAAACGAAAATCGCTCATCTGCGTGCTGAAAGACATCCCTGTATCAGATTTGTCGCATTCAGTGCACTACACTTACTTCGAGACTTAAACACTAATGAAAGTAAGCGCTATCTGAATTGAATTGAATCGGCGTCATCGCTTAGCTGTTCCTTCCTTAGCCCTATACGACCAGTGAATGAGACTGTGAAATCGGAAATCCTCGTATCCCGGTTCTCCGTTTGTAAATTTATGATCAGTTTATCTGATATTGAAAATACAGTAGATAGACCGCAAAATGTTATAAAGAGCCGTGGCGTTTCGCCATACCCTCTGCCGATTTCAATACGATCAATAAATTGCTTAACATAATGATGAACAAAACTTGCACGGACTTTTATTAGCATATAATTTGAGAGCAGTGTGTTTCAAAGGTCTTCACAGCACTTCCAATTAAGGGCTGATTGCAAAGTTTTGCATTTTGGCATTACTACGCGTGTTCTAATTTTGAGCACTTTCTCGGCTTTCTGGAATTCATAGAAAAATCGTGACCTCTATTTCACCGATGGCAAACGTTCAATAGATTACGTTCTCGTATACAGTCGAACCAAGACCACTGAGGTCCATGCGGCAAAACGTACGGCATTTCTGAAAGGCTTGGCTAGAGAGCTTGTGGAAATCGAGGTAAGTGTGTTTTCGGGTTCCGCTATGAATCTTGTTTTTCAGCCATCTTATGTGTAGCTTATTTTTCACATGTGACGCACAGATTTTACACACACCACTGGACCGTTGACTCCACGAGCTACCATCTTCAGTAGATTTTGTTGCGCCTCTATTAGTTAGCTTTCAAAGTTTGCTTGACTGTTTACAACCGGAAAAATTCGCCACGCAGGAATGCCATCTTTACTAGCTAGGGATCTACAGAGAGTTAGGTTCCACTGCCTGCATTTGTTTCTGGTAACAATTCTCCAGAGTGAATTCGCACAAAAATTTGGCCTTTCGGCTCGCTGCATTTTTTCGAGTACCTCTTCTATTCATAGATTCATGTGAACCAGTTGTCAGGACACTTTTTCAGGTCGAGGATTGTTGTGGTCAGATTCTGGGGAAAACAGATGTGGGATCATCCCCTCCAACAGAACCAATCATATCGGCAAGTATTCAACCAACATTGGCGGCAATTCCAGTTTGCCCCGAACCTAATCCTCAACAAAAGCGGACTCGCAAAGAATCGACTAGGGGTCAACCTTCGTCGATGGATCGTTACCGGTTTCGAGCAGAGCATGAAGAATCGGCTTTGCTTGATTTATCCGACCTAGTATTTGTTAAATTACACGCCCCTTGGAAAACAATGGAGCGCTACGCTGAGATGTTCAACTTTCGAAAACCGCTAAAAATGGTAAGTTGTTCCCATTGTTCGGATCGTGCGTTTGCTTTCTCTTAAGTTTCTTGTTTTTACTAACTCAGTCTCGCATTTATCTACCTCTCTTATACAACCTGCCATTGTGTCTTGATTAAAAGCTCGAGAAATCTATTAAGTGAGGCGGAATTGACCCCATTTCTTATTTGTTGCCTCCTACCTGTTTGTCTACGTAACGAAGTTAGCCGAATCGAACGTCAATGTTCCGTTTAGTTAACTCGGTAGCCGACACACTGGCTATTCAATAACGTTGCCAGAGGTAGTATATTCTTCTCCAGAATTAATCCACACCAGAGCGAAGGATTCTTTGTTCCGCAATATGTATGAAGTAACAAGTGTTCATCGTACCTGCTGTCAAACATACGAGTGATGGATTGTTGCTGGAATACATGACACAACAATGCTCATTGAGTTTGTCGTTCCCTTCTTCCATATCCGAGCTGTAGGGATATGGTATAACAGCTTCTGGCTGCTTAGACAACCTAGACAACCTGTGATATATGGCTATCTATTAAGTGGGCTGCCAACTGGGCAATATAGATGGTTCAGCCTGACCCGGAAACCACTCAAACATTGGTATGCACTTGCAGATGGGGCTCGTGTTTGAGCAATAAGTTAGACTACCGAACAACCGGAAGGAACATCATATTTATTACCCTATAACTGCCCAGATGACTCAAGTGGTGAGAGCGCGAATTTATTGACCGGAAGGTCCGTGGTTTGAACCCGGCCTCTACCTATCAACTTCCCCTGTTTAGGCTTGGGCAACCTGACAGTTTCCCAGCCCTCGTGCTTCCTTCGGGTAGCATGGCAGTTAGGCACCGAAAGGGTGTCAAGGTGAGCGGTCTATAACTACCATGTAGGGCGATTAGCTAAGTAACAATCATGTCACTGCGTGACAAGGCCAGATTATTGGTGCTTCCGATTAGAAACTCAATTTACTTGTCGATCAGGCCTAACCCACTTAACTATCTCTGCCTGAAGTGATTATAAGACCTTGCAATGTGTAGGGTTTAGGCACAAAGGTTGGCGATGCCGCGTGCGCCCGATTTTTGATCGGCCGTTTAGGCGACTACGAATTATTTCTGTGGACAAATTCAAGAATCTCATGCTCTGGTTAACTGGAATTCACTCGTGCATATGGCGAAGTTTGAATACTTCGAAGTAAGAAATAAGCTCCACAATTATCCGCAGGGCTAAAAAGTCGTACAGGTTGTCTCTATCCCAGGAGTGAACATCACCTCATGTCAAACGAGTGTCCGCTCTCTGAGTGACCCAGTTTGTGACATCTGGTGGATCGATGACCAGAATTTGGACTGATTTATCAGTTGCTGATGAAATGCAACATCTGAGTTTAATAATGTTGCTGGTAAGATGAAAAACTGAATTGCGTCGCGCTTGTTTCCGCACGACAGCTGTCTGAGAGAAACCCTTATTTGTATTTCCTGAACCTTAGATGGAGGCTTTTAGTGGGGACTAACAACCACAGCTCAGTCATGCTGTCGTCATCCAACATTCTCCAACTCAATTCCTGGAGAGTTTTATTCACTCAGAGTGGAAATTTTCAATTCTGCAGTGCGGAAATTGCAGACATTAAACTGAAAATTCAAAGGTGATCGCTACTTTGGACGGATAAAACAGTCTGTATGATTACGTTACTGAGGGGAGGGGGACGAGATCGCTCAGTGGTTGGAACGCGAATTTACTGAAAGGTTTGTGGTTTGAACCCGACCTCCGCCTCTCGAATTCCCCTGTCTAGGCTTGGGCAACCTGGTGGTATACCAGCCCTCGTGCTTCCTTCGGGTAGCGTGGCAATTAGGCACCGCTAGGGAGCTACAACTGAACGATTTATTTACGCTACTGTCTGCGTAAATTCATGTACAACTGTAGCAAGTCGAAGCTGGTTTCGAGCAACCAGCATGCACTGGGTGATGTAGATCGGCCAAAATGTTTGAGGGGATCCATCACCAGATTCAGCATAGTTGCAGGCGGTGAACACACTGAGGACCTCCCTTACAGTAAGCCCAACCAAACAATCCGGTGATATATTCACGCCATGCTACTCATGACAATAAGATCTGAGTGACGAAAGCGGTTCGTGGTTTTCGCTATTAGGACGAGGCGATTTCTGATGGAGTATCCTACCCTGCGGGGTATCCTCTCTAAGACGTTCCAATGGCAAAATAGGGACTGGTAGTAACCTTTCTTTGTCATAAGGATTTTCCCCTAAAAGAGAATTTTTCGGATTAAGGCACAACCCCTTCAAAGTAATCCAGTTGTAGTTGGGGTCACCGTAGCTTCTCTTGACAAGTTCCATTTAGCTAGGCACACGTTGTATACCGTTGGATAAAGATTGTTCAGTGTTGTAGAGGGACTGTGCTTACCAATGTAGCGACACAAAGTGTTCCCTTGGAACTTGTTCTACAGCTGTTTCGTCTCTGCTGTTTAATCGGTATTCATGTAATCAGGTGACTGCATCTAAACTCGTGCGGGCAAAAATCGTGAGTTGTTAGATCTTTCTGTTTGTTTGTTTTCCGTGTTCATTATCCTACAAGATTTGTGTCCGAAACAAACGGTCTCATCAGACTGAGCTCGAGACGCCAACAGATCTTGCGCCTACTCTACTCGCGCATTATCACATGTCTCTACAGTATAGAGCAAATCCGAAAAATCCGACTCAAAGGTTACGGTAGATACTATGCACTTCAGACCATCAGTTGATATCTTTAATCTTGTCCTCTCGAATTCCCCTGTCTAGGCTTGGGCAACCTGGTGGTATACCAGCCCTCGTGCTTCCTTCGGGTAGCGTGGCAATTAGGCACCGCTAGGGAGCTACAACTGAACGATTTATTTACGCTACTGTCTGCGTAAATTCATGTACAACTGTAGCAAGTCGAAGCTGGTTTCGAGCAACCAGCATGCACTGGGTGATGTAGATCGGCCAAAATGTTTGAGGGGATCCATCACCAGATTCAGCATAGTTGCAGGCGGTGAACACACTGAGGACCTCCCTTACAGTAAGCCCAACCAAACAATCCGGTGATATATTCACGCCATGCTACTCATGACAATAAGATCTGAGTGACGAAAGCGGTTCGTGGTTTTCGCTATTAGGACGAGGCGATTTCTGATGGAGTATCCTACCCTGCGGGGTATCCTCTCTAAGACGTTCCAATGGCAAAAATAGGGACTGGTAGTAACCTTTCTTTGTCATAAGGATTTTCCCCTAAAAGAGAATTTTTCGGATTAAGGCACAACCCCTTCAAAGTAATCCAGTTGTAGTTGGGGTCACCGTAGCTTCTCTTGACAAGTTCCATTTAGCTAGGCACACGTTGTATACCGTTGGATAAAGATTGTTCAGTGTTGTAGAGGGACTGTGCTTACCAATGTAGCGACACAAAGTGTTCCCTTGGAACTTGTTCTACAGCTGTTTCGTCTCTGCTGTTTAATCGGTATTCATGTAATCAGGTGACTGCATCTGAACTCGTGCGGGCAAAAATCGTGAGTTGTTAGATCTTTCTGTTTGTTTGGTTTCCGTGTTCATTATCCTACAAGCTTTGTGTCCGAAACAAACGGTCTCATCAGACTGAGCTCGAGACGCCAACAGATCTTGCGCCTACTCTACTCGCGCATTATCACATGTCTCTACAGTATAGAGCAAATCCGAAAAATCCGACTCAAAGGTTACGGTAGATACTATGCACTTCAGACCATCAGTTGATATCTTTAATCTTGTCTCTGACGAGTTGCACTGATTGTAGATTATATTGACCTTCCACTCTGACCCAAATACTTTACGCAACGTTTTTTCTCCGTAGAGATGCAAAGCCTCTCAGTGGTTCCTACCCCTTGCCCCTCGTAGAACACGTGGGTACTTGTATCTGTTGGTCCTCTGCACACAGCTTCGTGGTTCTCTTTCCTTTCTTGTTTTGTTAATCTTAGCGTTCAGTCCTGAGTATTTTTATTTGAACACAAAGATACAAAACCCTGGTGCTGTCGGGAGGGTAATTCGACTGTAGATAGCATATCAATACTGGGTAATAATGACAAAATAACCCGTTATCATCATCATCCATAGTGGCCGTTACACCATCGAGGCAACGATAATGGGACAAAGTTATACACAACCTACCGTTTCACTGTGACCTCAAAGACAGAGTTTGGTTTACCAGCTGCCAACAGATCGACAGCAGTTTACAAAAGTGATCATCTAGACAAATGCCTAGGACCAATCTACCGCGAGATCTAAGAGAGGGAAATTTGCAACACACGGACACCTAGGGTGGCCTTTCAGACGTCCAACCAAGGAGAAATCTCGCGGTACCGTAGTGAAATGATTCTAGTTTAGAATGAGACATATTTTCAGAATGAGACATATTTTCGGATTTATAGTTTTACGTTAGAATTGGGCATAGCCGTACTATGGTTGGACCATCCTAGAAACTGGGTCGGTTGGCGGCTTCCAAATACTGGCCTTTGGTGTGCGCAGTTCCCAAGAGTTGGAACACAGAATACGACGATGGTAACACGGGTAATCATGTTTCGCCCTCACAAATCACTGTTGGGCAACCTTTTACGCTCAGTTAGGTATGTGATGTTTGCCTTTCATGACACTCGGTTCCGATGCATACGGTGTGTGCATTTGGTTTACGAAAGTTACAGTGGACAATTTAGGGGGAAGATGAACGTTCATTTGGCTGTGTCGAGTTGGAATTTCGCATTGTTGCTCAATTCAGTTCTGGCCCAACAAATCAGCCTCGATTTTTAACGGTTAGCTTCAATCAGTTACAAGCATTGCTCTTCAACCTGCGTCATTGTCTGTGGCCTTTCAGCAAGACCCGGAGAATGTCAAGATGCATCCCAAGCCTTCTTGCTCAGACTGTTGTGAATTTGACAAAAGCGTACTCAAGCCCTTACGAAACACGTTCACTTGGCCATTTCAGAAGCAAAGGCTTTATCTGTGAGTGATTATATCTTGTCAACGGCTGTTGCACGGAATTTTACAACTCATACATGTAGAATCGTATCAACTTTCCCCATTAGCAGTGTAGCCTCTTTTCCTCGTTGACCATGTCACAGTGGACTGCAGCCGGAATTGATCAAGATCCGCTCTGATTTGGTGTAAACAAATAGCATCGTGTTCTTCTTCGTTCTGTTTAGGTTAATCCATTCCGGCTATAGTTATGCGAAACCTAGATTGTCCACATCATTATCTATGCGTCCTGTCGTCCATATGTGACCAGGGTGCTACGGCCGGTAGGTATAGTTTTTTCGTATTGTGAATCTGTGAAACATCACTGGAAGTGAATAAAACACAACAGATGGTTTCAGTTCTGAACTGTCCTCTCTGAGTCGCCATCGTTGCGTCTATCTTTAGCATCTACACATGGTTTGGACATTGCTGTCATGTCGTACAGTGTGAACTCGAAAGCACCAGATACTGGCTTTGTGCCAGGACTGATATTGAAAGCCCCCTGAGGTTGTTGGAAGCATTTGATGCAGGGACCACTGTTGTTCTTCGGACACTTGAAAAACGCTCAATGTGAGAGGAGGGCAAACAAGGTATTTTGCCCCCCTACAGAGGCCGTCACTCCGCACTATGCGGAAATCCACGAGCGATCTGATCTTGGTACATGGGCAAGTCATGATCCTAGAGCTTTTTGCTATAAAACAACTAGCGGGTAACTTTGGTGACCTGATTAGACTAACCATTTGTCTCCCGAAAGCACATTTACCCTCATGGGAGTTCTCTTCGTTCCCTGAAACTCTTGTATACCGATCGGTCTGTTTGTTGGCTGTACAGAGTGATTAGCCGAAATCGGATAAAAGTCACGTCTGATAAGCACATTCCGAATGACCTGTCAAAGCGGTTTTTCTTCATATCTGCGAACAATCAGGTACTCTTGACCAGTTCTTTGTCTCTGTTGTGTCACGCCTAACGGACGATTGCAATGTGTGTGGTGGGACCAGGCATATCTACGTGATTTGAACGCTTGGTCGTGGTTCACTTTCGCACGGATTTAAATAAGTGCAAAAAAAGCTTTTCAGCAAATTGCATGCGATTTTCAGGACACCTGCAGAAATGGCTGATCCAGATTCGCCGGATGTCGATCGGCTTTGGAATGCCGGTTGAAACTATGCGTGACATCTTGCTATTTATGGAGCTCCAACTAATTACGAATTTTCCAGTATATCGGAGTGCATCTATGGGGTGAACTATGTATTTTTGTGGTTGTTGTTGCACGACAGGAAGTCGCGACCATTACAGGACTCGCCATGTCGCGCAAGTGTTCCAGATAGCAGTAGGCAAGAACATTAGCTATCTAGATCATTCAGTCTGGGTTTAATGAAAGCCCCTCCACACTTATAAGCTGTTTGTTACATCCGAATGCGTCTTTATTTCCATTATTCTCGTCGCACAAAGATGCAGCATTGTTCTTGTCAGGCAATCCTCCCGTGAGCCGACACCCTGAAGATGAGACGCTGGTATCCTCGGTAGAGAGGAGTACAATTTTGCAGAACCTTTATGTGTATTTCCTACTGGTTGACTGGTAGACGGTGCGTTGCCATGGCGTTGTGCTTCTTACTCTACCCTAGTAATATATTTCACCTTGTTTTTATTCAGCACTCTGGAGTTTCATATTGTTTGGTACTTTCTAACACAGATTTGATATCCCTGAAAACCAGAATGAGTTCTTTACGGCTGTTGAACGCGCTATGGTTTTGGACTATATTCTCCGACGCACACCGTGTGTTTTTGAAGACAATCCTGAACTAGGTAAGCAGACCTGTTGTGATGTTGTCCATCCACCTCAACTAGATGAAGCGACTTCCTCAAATAACAGTCCTGGATTCAATGGCCGCAGGAGACCTGCCGAACTGGATGTAGGTATCACCAAGATGCTTTCAGACGGTGTGTTCTCCGCTGCCTACCCACTGCACGAAGTGAGTTATTTCAAACTAGACGCTTTGGGATAGTGAGTCGTGTCCAATGACGCCATTGCGAATAGCGCGTACTTACTGCGCAAAACGTGTGTTATACTTGTATTACTTGGGGAGGGGGTTCAACCACCTTGTATAGCAGGATTTTCTACGCTGTTTTTTTTGGGAGTGGAGTAACAAACATTAAGTTAGTGAACAAAAGGCTGACGAATGACCATCATAAAGAGTTAGAAACGAATATGCACTGTTCCACTCATAATCCAGTCTTGCATGATGAAGGTATTTGGATAAGCCGCTTAGCACGATCACCTGATGTAGGTTGCCGGGCCGGGGGATAGTTGATAACTGAAAAAATTCCCATATGACAGCCCATCTTGCGCAGTAGTGGGCCAGAATCCACCAGCCTCTCGGCCCACCACAGCAAGTCTCAATTTTTCCTTCCTCCTCACGATATTTTTCAATTCCCTTATCAACTTCCTTCAGTAGAAGTGAGTGGTTACTCACTTAAACGACAGTGAATCAGCTATGCATGAACTGCTGGGTTTGATGTGTTGTCTTCCTCAAACCAATTTGGTTAAGTCAACTACGAAGTGCATACTGTGAAAGAACGCCGGAGAACCGGGCGTAAAATGATCACCATGACTGTTTGAGAGCATTGGAGAGTGTCGTAACCTGGCACTTGCCCCTAAACACAACTGGAGGATAATATAACTTTTTTCACTCTTTATTCTCAGGGCTGGAATGGTCTTTTTTGTAGCCACAGAGGTGACTGATATATAAATTTACCGCAACTATCCTTATCAGAAGGGTTGATCTCTTCATATTAAGGTCCCAACAAGATATCGGTGGGCTCTCGCAACACAACCTTTATATGGGGATCGTCGCTGTGGAGCCTTTTACTTACTGTACTATGCCGTGTCAGTTTGAACTATTCACCCTGTTAGACTTGCAGTGGGATGAGTGTCTCTGAGCTGGACGTCGTCAAGACGGAACGAAAAGATTTATCCTACTTTGACGTAGAAAGGCCATTCCGCCATCTACTCAGGAAATGATTTCCACTCATTCAAGAAAGATTAACTGTCGCACAGACTCAAGTTGCAACGGATTTGAGGCGAACGCCTTATTTATCGCCCTACAACCCGGTATATGTTTTTGCTAGATCTTAGAGTGGTGAAATTTGCGACAATTATACTGAAGAGTCAATTGTGTACCTACTGACATCAATTACTAGTTGTTATTATCCGGTTTCACAAAACCAGGAGATCCAGATGTCACTCTCGGCTTTGTGCTACCCTACTGGTTGCATTACCTACATGCAGTTATTTCCAGCTGATTTTGGAACAAAATAAATTATCCGTGCATCGAGGCGGTGAAGAAAGGTATTTTGCTTCGCAACGTTGAGGCGAAGTCCTCCTTGGTGGAAGTAGAAGACAGACTCAAAGAACCAATTTTCTAGGTGGTGCGTTCAGGAGTGCTATTTGCTTTGATTCTTGAGCTCATTTGTGAAGCGCGAAAATTCGACGTAAGTTAATCCCCCTTTGAAATTGTATTTACTAGTGTCTGTATACGATGGGACTGGCTGAATGTTTGGTTCCTACTAGACTGAGGTACTAAACAATCACGGAATTTTTCATGTTTTCACCCTTAGTCCGTCTCACATACAGATTGCTTCGGCACCCCTGCGCACACGCCTTATATAGAATAGCCTTTGTTTGCTCACTAAGAGTATTTAGACGAGCCTGCCACTCGGGTGAGTATGAAACGAGTGTCGGTCACTCTTACTAAATTGAATATGAGCATTCTACCATTTTCAGTTCATCCTATATTGACTTACATCCTCTCTTTCTCAGCATACGGCTGCCATAGAAAATTATACCAGGTTGTTAGACACTGTAGCACCCACCGAACAAGTGGCTCAAAAATTGGTAGGTCACATTATTCCGAAAACTTTACTTCACCACACCTATTCACCCATCTCCTTCGTTTGGCTGTTCTGTACTGGGGATCGCAGTCAGTTTGGTTTGCTCAAACGCACCCTCACACGTTTGTTTTGGTGTCTGCTGTTTGTTTCTACCCATATTCCTCCTTTATCACATCCATATACAGTTTTATGTCATTTAAGTGGGTGCACCTTTGAGTGTAGTCGTTACGTTTAATTAACTATTTTCACAAGCTCACTCACTTTCCGACTGTTGTGAATTTGTCGACTTTGGTTCTCTCCCTCTATTAACCTCTAACACATATAAGCTTGCTAACTGGCCGGCTGTCTCACTGTCTCAATGCTTCACCGTTCATAAGTATAAAGAGTCCTTGTTGATTTCAGGTCTTTCTTATCACCACACTGTCCCCATAGCGGGGAATCCATCCACTTACGCCATAGCGAACCAGTAGTGCGTTTTCATAGTAATTGTGTATAACTAACTTCTCATTTGTATCGCCGTCACGGAGAGACTGGACCTTACCGTGGTGTGACGGTTTGCGCACCTCAGCGATCCATTGAGCTATACTGGAGAGTGTCTCACGACACTCACAGAGTCTCTCATACCAGGTTGGTCAAGGGTTAGAGTTCTGACGAACACAGCCTCCTGGCCCTCCAGGTTGGGGGTTGGAACAGGTGGCGACTTGTTCCGTAGAAATGGTAATGCATTTGCATTTCCCGCCAAACACCGCTGCCTTGCGGTTAGGCTTTTGAGCCAAAGGCTTTGGTTGAGGACCCTAATCGTCCTCCTGTCTAGGTGTGGGCGCCCTGGCAGTATCCCAGCCCTCGTACAACCATGACCTA